TCATTGCTATCAGTTCACTTCAGCAGTACTTGACGATTGTCATAGCTGGCTCTTTCCCTTTCCTGAAGACTTTCCCCATTGGCGTAACTCCTTGTTCATTTTTACACGGGTCGCTAACTATTCTTCGGAGTAACATTCCATCCACAGAGGTATTTCTGCGATTTTTGATCCTTTTGAACATCAAGAGCTATATAATTTCATATATTAACCATACATACAATATATCAGTACAGCGGCATTCGAACTTCCTAGCAGCACTAATGAGCAGTCAATACAGAACCAACCTTTTTCACATGCTTAGCGGCACTCTTGTCCAGTTCAGCAGTCCTTTGTTTCCAATAAGCTGCCCGTTGCTGGATGCTGACCGCCGTCTCGTCAGCTAACGCATCCGCTACGGCTCTTAGGCGATGCTCCAAAGCTCGTTCACGCATGCACACCCTTGTCATGCAAACACCCATATCTCGTGCAGCACCTGTAAAATCTCATGAAAAGTTTATATGAGTCGAGCAAGATCAAGGACGAAAACCTGAAAGATAGAAACGGTTCGAAGGAATACTAACATTGAGCGCTATGTCAATCCAAAAATAAGTAGGGATCGCGAATGCCACAAACTACTTAACTGCCTACGAAGGATGTCGAAGCACGACTGCGCAATGTACTAGTTAAGATGGTCGAAAAGTCTGCTACAGAAAAACGGATTTGCGAAGGTAGAGATCGTGTATTACTCCATACCCCTACATTCCCAACGATGGGCCACTTCCCATTATTTTTTCTATCATAAATTTCAACGTCACTCGGTCTTGAACCGCACCTACTCCGACGCAATCACACAATCATAAAGGTTTTGGACGCGATACAGTTCAATTCCTTCTTCTAAAAACTTCCAAATACAACTCTAAAGATAACTAAAGCTCCGAGCATTCATCTGATCTTAAAAGTCATTGCGGCTCCCTCAGATCTTGTGGCAGTCCTGTTCACACAACAAACATTCCAAACATGCTGTCCCTTTCTTTTGAGTTCAAGTTCTCAGCAAGTCAGCGATTAAGACATGATGAACCGACCTTTCAAATTGTTGGCATAGTCGCTTACAGCCTGTACTGAGTCCACGAATCCTGCAATGCAAGCGGCAGTAGCCCTTAATTGGGCCGATAGCTTTTGTGCACGTTGTCCGACCATTTCCCATGCTGGATACGACTGCTGTAACAAACAAAAACTATTAACAATATGCACCTAAAACGTAAAAACGCTTTCGATAGACATTTTCTTTTAAGTTTCAGCATATATCACCCCGCCTTACACTAACTGAAGGTAGAAAAAAACGAAAAAAATTTTAAAAGTTTATTTTAAAGGCAACCAATCTGATCGACAAGTTGGTCTAATACAAAAACTTGAACAACTTTCGAGCCGATTAAAAAAGCGTATTTCACGAATTAAGAGATGTTCCAGCCAAAATGCAGAGCTAGTCAAATTACGAGCGTATGCTAAAGGTAGTTATGTCACAGAACTCAAATGTTGAGCAATTCGACAGTTGGAAACACTACTCGTCTTCAAAGGAGGCAATCCAAGGCATGGCGCATGCCACAAGAATTAACCGACTGCGAACATATTTTACCCTATCTGTGTATCGTTTCTACCTCATGCTTGCGATTCCCCTCATTCCTATACTAAAAAATAACGAAACGCGTCAGCCCTGCAGCATCTGGGTCTGAAGTTGGTTAATTTCTGGATGAACTTTGAACCAATATGCTTATTATCCGTTTGAAAGTGGCTTCACCCCGTATAACAGAAGTTCTTAGGAAAAACCAATGGTCAAATACTAAAATGGGAAAAAATCAAACAACGACTCCGTGACATACATCAATTTTTCAGTCTCAACACCTACTTGCTTCATTTTTACGTTGACAGCACCACTCCATCTTGATCAACAGCTTCTTACAATGTTAGCACTCAAAGTGTATTTATGCTTACTTTAAAATGCAGATTTCCCGTGTCAGCATGACCCTGACTGCAGCCAGTTCGCCCAGTCATTCTAGCACCAACCAACTGCTGTTCCATTCCTCTCAGGCACTCGAGCAGCACAAATGTTCGCCTGCGCCCTACTTAGCGCGTAAAAAACTCATTTATCCTGGCTTTGCGGCTCTCACCCGCGAACAATGAACGATTTAGCAAATTGATTGTGACATGAAGAAAAATCGAGGATCATAGGATACGAAATCCGGGGTTGCATGGGTATGTCGGCAACTACAATGATTAAGTAGCTTGTCATCGTTGGTCAGTCGAATCATCACAAGAAAAAAGGGTTCGATCTATGATCCCCATCTTTTTCCTAGAGAAGGAATCGATAAATTTTCATGAGGTCATTCTCCAGCTTTTAGAAACCATATTGGCTCCCTTGCCGCTCCATATAAACAATCTTTACCCAGAAACTTCCGTATTCCTCTGAAACTCAGATAAAAACCAAAAAACGGTGGTGTAAAAATTTCTTCTCAGGTAGTCGCTTTCATCGTTGCAACCAGTCTTGCGAGCCCGACTGATTTACATTCGACTCCAATCGGAGTCCAAAGAAAGATGAAAGCATTCTCTGGTTGACGTCTTCCGATTTCCGAACCCACTACTCACGCTTCAATCACAGCAGGTGCGAACAGATTCACTAGCAGGCCGCAAAGATCTATTGAGCACCTCGGTTTCTGTTCACCATGCTTCTGGATGAAGCCCGAGTTCGAAATGGATTTTAATGAGATGGCGCAATGTCCTTTCTACAAAGCATGAGGGTCTTTTCCTAAAAAAATGAAAAAGAATTCTTTTCCTTTGCTCGAAATTTTTGGCATTTCCTTCATAACGATCATTTTGAGTCTTATGCTGGCATCGCAAAGAATTCGAACGTTCTATTTGCGGGGATGGTTTTCCAGAGAGTCAAACTCGGTTTGAGTTGGACATGACTTCAAGCCACCATATCAAAATTGCCCTTGCATGTGGTAAGAGCAAGATGCAGAAAGTATAAAAGATAGCAGAAAATATGGAATAAAAACGAGTTTTCTAGAAGGTGCAGACCATCTAAAACAAAATTTATTTTTGAAGCAGTTTACAGGAAGCAGTTTACAGAGAGTACTACCGCGCGCATCAATTTTCGTTGCAACTGGCCGAAAAGAGACATTAAGAGAACGCCGAAGCCTTTTAAATGAAGCTTTTCATTTAAAAACTCCTGTAATCTGTAATAATGTTGCCTTTCCTTGGAAACCTCTCTCTATTCACTACTTGTCGACCAAAGTCTTGTAAAAAAAGTTGCTCAGTTATAAGTCCCTGCGGGCATTGTTCCGATCCGACACGCAAAACTGTCCCCCGCGGGTACTTGCACAGCACAACAGAGCCGAAGGCTATTAAAAAGTCGTGAGCACGCTGTTTGACATTTGATGTTCGCTCGGATTCCCATCTAAATCAAAGGAACCATGCTCAATTTGACTACTTTATAAGTTTGTTCTTGCTTCACACAGTGACTCCGTCATTCATTTTATAAGTACCTATGGGATCCCGGGCTCGTACCTCAACTGAATAGGCGACAAACAGGCATACCAAACTTGGACTTCTCCTTTGTTCAACCCAATTCGAACGGATCCAAACGGAAACGGATCGATCCCCTTCCCCGAAATGCTGTGCAAAAATGGATTGCACACATTTTCAACCGAAGGTTTGACTTCTGCCATTTGATGTTATTCCAATCTATCGAAATAGAATTGGACGCCCCCAAGCAACAGACATTTTTGAGAGAATAGTGTTTTTATGCTCGTCAATATGCCGCCTCAGTCACCCAATTTGCTAAAATGCTTCGAAGGAATAACATAAGCTCGAAGATCGGGACAGTCTATAATTCATTTAGAAAAAAAAAAGATTTCAAAGAGATTGAAAAATAGAACAAAGTAATTAGTTTGGAAGTAATGAAATTTAGGTCTTCAAACGTCATTTTCCCTTTCCGCTCCAGCCTCCAAGGCCCTTGGACCAACCCTCGACATAAATTGAATGGAAATCAGCTGATGCTGGGCCCAGGGGGCTTGAAGATTGGAGCGAAATGAAGAAATGGCGTTCGAAAACCAATACCTTCCCTTGGAAACCAATTACTTCCCTATGTGAAAGGCATCTAAAAAGTAACCTTATTTTACCTGAGAGCTTCCACATTGGATCCTTTGTACTGCATATCAGAGAGATTAGAAGGCATACAAGGCCATTTCGCTGGCAAGGAAAACTTTTGGACATTAACTATGATCCCCTCTCACATACTGGATTTGACACACAGCTGAGTACAATCCCAATCAGAGCGGGGCAGCTTCTAAAAGGAAATGGACCATTCGTGGGTTGGATCCCAAGCTAGCGCATCCTTCCGTCGCTTCGGTGATTTTCCAGTAACTACGGCGAACGTAATTATATGCACACAAAACGAAACACTTCTACATACGACCCATAGGGGTGGGGGACAAAAGACAGTCCTCAAGAGCTCAATCAGCGTCAATCGAGAACTGTGAATAACCTTTTTATAATTGGCTTAACCGAAAAATGTTAAATGACCGATCAGAACCAAAGAAACGCATTTAAGCTTCAGTTTTCTTGAGATCAACCACCTACTCCATTGAAAAACTCCCTCGTGCCACTGCGTATCCTGCCAAGCATTCCACTTGATACGAGACAGAAGCCCTATAGAGAAAAAGGAATAAACAACCGCCAACGAAATGTAAACAATATTGAATCCCCCGGGCCAATGTGATTTACATAAGAACTTTACGATGATACAACTGTGGATACGGAAATCAAGTCTTTACTAACCGTACATCTTCCCACACTCACCACACATTCGAAGAGGAAAGTCCTAGTTGGAAGAAGCTAATCTTCATTAAGTAAAAAGAAACTCAAAAGGACCTTGTTTATTATGTGGAAAAAAAACGTCGACGAGAAATCTCTGGTACCATTAAAGGTCCCTGAAAAGAGGGAGCGCAGCATTCTAAAGCCTTCCCACTTAATTCTCAGCATCGATCAAAAACCTTTCTCACCAACCCCTTCATTAGCTTTCACTGGATCTAATTGTCTAGGTGGAATGTCCCCTACCTTTTTCTGGCATTAACCAAAAAGGTTTGAGCGAATTCGCAGTATATTCCTCATTAACGCTCAGTGGAAAGAAAAAGTTGGAATTCGTCTCTTTTAGAGCATTGACTAAAGGTTAGTCTTGCCGAAGTAGAAAAAGGATCAGCTGGATACAGTATCCATAATTAAGCTGAACAGACTCAAAGAAACACAAAGTAACGAGAGAACTCTTCGACTGAGCCCATAGTTAATCAAATCTTCCGAGTCACGTCATAGCTGACTTCTTTTTGGGATTGTTTTCCGACTTTTTGGGCCACTCCAGTTTCGAAAGGGCTGACATACACCGTATCCACAAAACTTGCCATAAACCACACGAACCTGCTATTCACTACTAACTGGCCAAACCTAAGTGATAGTAAAGTTGGCTAACTGCAAATCGCCTATGTGACACCAGCTCGTTTTGTAAGCTCACGCCACATAGGCACAGGATTTTTGAGTTCCAAACAAGGCCAACCCTTAAACGAATGACTCAGCATTCCAACTATATTATTCGATAGCAAACTGCAGCTACTAGAGCAGAAACGAAATTGAAATTCAAGGAAGGTCTCATCTTTTCTTTGAAGAACCTGAATTTGCTT